ATTCAGTATCTGGCCTTCTAAAGAGCAGTCAGGGTTGATCTCCTCTAGGACTGACTGGTTTGATCGCCTTGCAGTCCAAGGGACTCACAGGAGTCTTCTCCAGCACCACAATTCAAAGGCCTCAATTCTTCAGTGCTTAGCCTTCCTTATGGTCCAACTTTCACAGCCATACATTGCAACTGGGAAAACCATGGCTTTGACTATACGAACTATTGTCAGAAGGGTGATGTCTCTGCTTTTTAGTATGCTGTCTAGATTTGCCATAGCTTTCCTCCCCAGGAGCAAGTGTCTTTTAATTTCTTGGCTGTAGTCCCTGTCTGCAGTGATCTTGGAGCCCAGGAAAATAAAATCTGTCACTACCTCCATTTCTTCCCCATCTATTTGCCAGGAAGTGAGAGGACCAGATGCCATGATCTTAGTTTTCTTAATGTTGAGTTTCAAGCCAACTTTTGCGCTCTCCTCCTTCACCTGGATCAAGAGACTCTTTAGTTCCTCTTCACTTTCTGCCATTAGAGTGGCATCATCTGCACATCTGAGGTTGTTGATATTTCTCCCGGCAATCTTAATTCTGACTTGTGATTCATCTAGCCCAGCCTTTTGCATGATGTTCTCTGCATATAAGTTATATAGGCAGGGCGACAATATACAGCCTTGCCGAACTCCTTTCACAATTTTGAACCTATCAGTAATTCCATGTCTAGTTCTCACTGTTGCTCCTTGACCCACATACAGATTTTTTCAAGAAACAGATAAGATGGTCTGGTGCTCCCACCTCTTTAAGAACTTGCCACAATTTGTTGTGATCCACACAATCAAAGGCTTTAGTATAGTCAATGAAGCAGAAATAGGTGTTCTTCTGGAACTCCATAGCTTTCTCCATGATCCAGCGTATGTTGGCAATTTGATCTCTAGTTCCTCTGCCTCTTCGAAATCCTGCCTGTACTTCTGGTAGTTCTCGGTCCACATAAATTGTAGGCTTTTGAGAATACCTTTGCTTGCATGTGAAATGAGTACAATGCTACAGTAGTTTGAACATTCTTTGCCATTGCCCTTCTTTGCAATTGGAATGTAGACTGAGCTGGGTGGAGACAGGCATTTTCCCAAAAATGGGTCTGGCACTTCTCTGTTGTGCTGAATTCTTTCTTCTCACATTGAAACCAACAGGGGAGAAATTAACTGGCTGCTGGAGATGGTCAGCCTGATCCTGGAGCAGAGCAAAAGGAAAACAGGACCCAGGGCCTGCTGACATGCCTGCCTTTCCTTAGCGAGGTCAGAATACATCCTCTTTCTTACATTTTATATGGGTTGCCAAGTCTATATTTTTCACTGAGGTGGTTTTAGTGGTCTTTAATGCTTTTTGATTTTATTGACTGC